AATCTTCCGACTTTGGCTTTTTCACTGTAGCACCCTCTACATTCCCCTTACCCCGGTTGCTTAAAGGCAAGAATCAGGATTAAATTGATGGGTTGATTCCACTCAAATGTGAAAGTAGGGATGGGAGGTGGACCGCCAGTGGAGAAAAAAGGAAAGAAAATCCTGAAATACACAGGAAATACGAGCATTTTGCTCTATGCTGTGGAGAAGTTCAAAAGACAGGCAGGGAGATGAGAGATAATGTGAGCGCGGAGAGCGGTAGAGAAGTCCGAGAAGAGAGAGCATAGCAGATCAACGTGGCGACGCAGACAAGATATCGAACGGTGGGCGGACCATGTTAAGTTTGGTGGAGTCTGTTAGAAGTCCATGGCGCCTAGGGTCCTAGTGACGCGTTTCGATGTAGAAAGGTGGCGCTACCTTTGCACTTGCGTACCCAGCACTTCTAGCCATGGTAAGGGCTTCTTAGGTGGGTCTGAGCCCGAACTTTGCCTTTAAGTTGAACCGATGGAAGTCTAGTGGATGGCACTCTGGATTCATACGAGAAAAGTGACATGATCGATTCCATGAGGGCGGAGGACTTATGCATTTTTTCATGGCTGCGTCCGCACTTGCCACATGGAAGAGGCAGACTCTGGGTCGAAGAAGGGGAAATTCACTTGGTGGCAATCTAGCACGGCCTTACCTTTGGCGCAATTGGCCCGGAACGCTCACCGACTATCTAAAAGTTCAAAGCATCAATGATCAATCAATTCAAAAATCAACATCATCACAAAACAAACAAAAAGGGCAAGGAAGTATCCCATTTCTCGGGCTTCAGGCTGTTTCACATGGTTTCTTCTTCCCTGCTTCACTGAGCACCTCTACCCTTATTTCCAATTAGCTACCTTTTCATCGTAAAACCCTTCCTTGAAGGGCTTACTCACCTTCTAATCGGCTGTGCTAAGGGAATGAGAGACTAAGCGCGGAGAGGAGAGTATGAGGCGAGAGAGCGCAACAGATGAGAGAGCGCCAGACAACAGCCTGATAAGAGAAAAAATTGCAGCTGCTGCAGCTTACTTTGCAAGGCCCTAGCGCTCTTGTCGGGTGATTTCCGTGCACGGGAATGCCACATCTGTGGCTTGTCCTCTGGGAGCCTATCTTCTGGACCAAAGACGAATGTTCACTTCTACTTGGGCTGTGTCTTCGAGAATCGTTATATCGTGATGGCTTTACACTGGGACAACAAAAGAAGTTCGACACGACTTCAAACATGAATGACATAGTATTTAATCCAACTAAATGATGCTGTTTTGCAGGTTAACAATGCAGGTGGCACAGCTCCGTCGAACACATTGACACATGGATTCGATCAGTCTATGGAGACCTACGACTACGTCATGAATCTTAACACTAGAGTGTTTGTGAACAAAGTGGCGAAGTCCACTGCATTTTGAAGTGGATGATTCCTTTATACTGTTTCCTTTTCGTTCAGGGTTCTTGCGCTCACAAAACGTTGCCCTTCCTCATCTGAATTGCATCAAAGGGAGAGATTGTGATGGTCAGCAGCATTGCCGGACTACCCCTAGCGGTTCGTTACCACTGCTACGAATCCTTTACGTTTTGTGTAGATATGAGATCTGCTCGATTACCGGAACTTTTCTCGAATTTAGAAAATCTCTAGAAGGAGAACGAGTGCTCAAATGATCTCGCGTCCTGTGTTACTACTTTAAGTTTCAGACGCCATCGTTTCCTTACTACAGCATGTCAAAAGCAGCTCTTGATCAACTGACCAGGGCACTGGCTGCCAAGTACATCCTGGAAGGAGTAAGAGTCAATTCAGTGAAGTGAGTCTAGCTATTTACGGCCGGCCAAAGTGGCCATTTTTAAGCCATTTGCAAAGATTTTTGGAAATATTCAAGCAATTCTAAGAGTCTGTGCGAGTCTTTGATGTCATTGTAGGCAGAATGAAAATCTATCCCTCGTTATTTCTGAGACTGAGGAGCGAATTCACGTCGCGAATTTATACACTCTCGTGCAGATAACATCCCTTCCTCTGTCTTGAAGCAACAACCCCAGATCGAATCGTGGGGTCACGGCGGTTGATAATCAAGTTGTGGATGCCGAATCGACTAAAAATGCAAAGAAATCCGTCCATGAAGTTTAAAACAAAAAATTCCATCGCAATAAGGGAGAGTTGTTTTAAATTGCCTGCTCCTGGGCGCAACTAGTTCGCGTGTGTTTGAATAAGACGCTAGGCCGTAATCAGACTTCAATGCTGACTTTGTAAGTCCCTACCGCCATTGTCGTTCAATTGCGAGCCGCGACAGTGCGCATCTGTGGGCTATTCGTGGGCTAATCCACCCACTGTCATGGATGTCTTTGTACATCCAAGCTTCACTAAGGGTGTGGTTTTACCCTTAAAGAAACACGCGATAAAATCACCATCTCCACTCTGAGCTGCCCACAAAGCTCGAGTGCTCGTCTTTTACTGGCCCTATGTTCATCCCTTGAGTGCCTTGGCCTTCTCGCACAAAAGAAACGCTCTTCTCGTAAGTTGTCGACATCCTCCTCTCGAATTTCTATACTTATATTAGTAAATTTCCGACTTTTTAGATGTCGCATCTTACAAACAATCAGATGAGTTTATCGCTGGCCCAACAGATGCCGCTACCTCACGTCGAGAGACTTGGAAGGGATTTTTCTAAAGGAACGTTTAGAAATGAGAAAATGCCAAAAGACACTGCTGTTTGTCCAAGAATGCGACTGGAATTGATTTCTGAGCGTGTCGGGGCTTCAAGAATCTATCTGTGAGATAGACCAAGAATACCTTAATACCACTATGCGGCGGCTCTTAAGCTGGGCGCGATAATGCTCTGGGCTTTGCAAGGGAGCTTGTGAGCACTTATGTAAGCTTACAAACGAGCAAAGAGAAAATCGTGCACACTTCCATGATACGGCGGATTCACGAGCCGTAGTGGCGTCCTAACGAATAAGTCAAATTACTGAGGCGGGTAAGTGCGAGCTGTGGGGCAGGGTAACTTTCGAAGATTGTGTCGATCCTTCGCATCTTGTGGGGAACGACCGGGCTAGTAGTCATTGCAAAACGACTCCCTTTGGCCTTGCAGGAAAGACCCTGTGGGGGACATTTTCACAGGCAGGGCGTTCCACACACGGAGACCGTCGCATTCTAACCAAGAGCTGCCCCAGACCATACGACGAATGGGCTGGCAGGCAGCTTACTCCTTCTTCCTCTTTAGGCTGTTGGTCAATGCTTTTCCTCTTATCGCTTGTCGGCTCTCTCTCGTATCATGCTTCTCCTTCGCCCTAGTCTGCTCATTCCTGAGCACAGCCTAAATGTGTGTAACGTCTCAAGCGAGTGTTTTGGTAAACCGTTTTGTTTTTGGTCTTTCTAATTCTTTTTGTTTACCTGCCGGGCCACTTCACAGGAAAACATTGTTATCCTTGCCCAAGAATCCACACCCAGTTAGATCCTCGAGCATGTCTTTGATTAAAATAGAAAGACAAGGAGTGCTCGTTTATGGTAAGCCAGATTAGTTCCTCCGGCCCGTTCAAACCGCCCGGGACATTCCTTTCGCTCTGCCTACGCGCACGTTATTTCTATCCTCCGCTATGGTCCCTTCCTCCTGTGACACCAACACCTGGAAGTGACGCGTATGCAACACAATGGTGTTTCATACAGTAGAAGGGACACAATCATGATATGACGGGTAGATTTTTCGCTTCCCTTCCCTTCATCCTCCCTTCCTCTCTCCACTGCCCTCCAGCTGCCACTGCAGCACCATGTGGAATGAACGGAAGTGTGCTAAGCAGGTGTTTATATAGCCCTAAGAGTGTTATCACAACTATCCTGCTACAAAACATTGATATCTCAAATCCTGTAAGCTACCCGATTTGTTAGCGGTTTGTTTATCCCATGAGCTTCCTTCACACTCACTTCATTTTGCGGACGGACACACATACATACACACGCACACACACACTCGTATATGCGGGGTGGCTTTTCACACACTCACAACCCCACTTCCAGATACTATACCGACTCAGTGCGCGCCAAATGTACGCTTTCTCATATAGACGGAGTGGCGGTTTTGGCTTGGTTGGTTGTCTTTTCTTAGTCAGTTCGACATCTCATTTCATTATGACAACTAATTCATATGGGTAGCTCGACTTTGACTTAGTCGCTCTTTCAGAACAAAAAAGGGCAGTGAGGTATGATTGTGATAGTGGTATTTATCAGGGAGTATATCCTTCTATTATATATAAGCGCTAACTTTGTGTGTCGGTTTGTGTATCTGTATGTGTGTGTGTGCGTGTGTGTGTGTATGTATGTATGTGTGTCCGTCCGCAAAATGAAGTGAGTGAGAAGGAAGCTCATGGGATAAACAAACCGCTAACAAATCGGGTAGCTTACAGGATTTGAGATATCAATGTTTTGTAGCAGGATAGTTGTGATAACACTCTTAGGGCTATATAAACACCTGCTTAGCACACTTCCGTTCATTCCACATGGTGCTGCAGTGGCAGCTGGAGGGCAGTGGAGAGAGGAAGGGAGGATGAGGAAGGGAAGCGAAAAATCTACCGTCATATCATGATTGTGTCCCTTCCCGCCACCCCCCGCCCGCGGCCGCCCGCCCCCGCCCGCCCCGCCGCCCGCGACCCGCGGCGCCCGCGCCCCCTTTCTACTGTATGAAACACCATTGTGTTGCATACGCGTCACTTCCAGGAGGTGTTGGTGTCACAGGAGGAAGGGACCATAGCGGAGGATAGAAAGCTTGCGCAGGAAAGGAAGGTCCCGGCGGTTGACGGGGGACTAATCTGGTATTATATATAAGGAGGGCCAAAAAAAAGACATTCTGTCTCCACATTCAAACCGATTAAATCACACTCTGCTAAATTCTGAAACGAATGGACTCAAGTTAAAATGAAAGAGCACATTCCATTTCATAAAATAAACTTTATATTGCCCTTCAAGGTGGACGAAATCGGAAAAATTAGCACTGAAAACATGGTGTACTGGTCGTGCTCAATGGGGTCGCTATCTGGCTCCAGCTTCACAAGGGTTTCATTTCTAAAAATCGTAACGCCCCAACCGCCACACCCATTAATATGTTGCTAGTAGAAGAATATCGTTCACTTGTCATTGTGGAAGAGCGTTTCACTTCAAGCGGTCGCATCTTTCATCTACCAAAGCATAATGTTTGTTGGCATGATGTTGGCTATCCTAGCCATCCCGCTCCAACGACCCTCTCTTAGTAGGCTGACTCGTCCACAGTCAGAAATTAACGGGCAAACAAATCATCTCGCATCTGTTCTTGAAAGATTTCACTGCTTCTCCGCTACTGGCGCACCACTTACGACCAACCTTTCGCTAAAGCTTCGATCATTCTATTGCAATCATTGTTGCCTTTCTCACCGCTTGTGTTCATCATCGAAAGGGAAAGAGTGCGACTAACGTGAAGATGACCTATTGTGTCGTCACTGCGAGCTTTTTAGCGCTTTGGCTGGTAAGTAAATCCAACTCCACTTCCATCTTGCCATTCTGCCAACATAGAAACAAAGAAAAAAATCGTTTTGTTCATTTCATCATGACTGATTTTATTGCTACAGTTAGTCTTCTCAAAGGCAATACCAGTTTTGCAGTCCTGGTATCGTTGCAACAACTATCATGCAGAAGCAAGGTCTTTCTGAAGAAAAATCGAGAAAGGTAAGAAAGTTTAATCACTTTGCAGGACGTGACGCGAACCTGAGCAAGGTAATGGTGGTGTTGCTTCAACTAGGCGGGCGACGAATCCTGGATCGACCCTGCTCAGACTCGTCTTTCCATAATTTTGGGGTCGATTAATTGGTTCAAAGCTCGCCTGGCATAACAAAGCACCTACATCCATACAGTTCTCCCCTCTCACCTCTCCTCTCACATCTTCTCTCTCTCTGTATACCCGTTTATTGTATGGAAATCGTATTGAAAGTTCTACGTGGACTGAAAATCATGAAATCGTTGATCAATCCAGATTGCTTTCTTTTCTCAGTGTTCGGCAGTGATTACGACGAATGAAGTAGTCCAGGAAGGAGAATGTGCCTAAAATAAAAGATGATCAGGTTCTGAGGAAAAGAACCGTAGGTTCCGCAGCGTGAGCTTTCTAATATAGCCTTGTGCGTAATATTAGTATCAGCAATAGACGCTCCGCTACTATTCAGCCGCTTGAAGCCGCCTTCTCGTCTAGGGTGTTCCCCAAGCCGCTAAATATAGCGGAAGCGTGCTAGATGCTGATGTTCTTGTTTTCATCGCTCCCTCCCATTTCCAAAGATTATTTGATTTTAAGCAACCTATTTCACAGTTTGCCTAACTGAAAAGCAAAGCATGGCTTTTGCTGCCACGGTACCGGCAATGGAAGTAGAGTGGGGTGCGGTGAAAGTTGTGTAGTGACAAGGGGCGCTACTTTCCACGCGCGCAGGTCTGGGACCGTAATCCTGGGTCGTACCAGTGTCTAAGCCAGTCAAGCCTTCCACCTTTTTGGCGATTGTTCATATTCGGCCCCTTTGAGAGGTTGTCTTAATGAACTTCGGCTCCGCGGATGCGGCGTCCTTTCTCAAATTTTCCTCACGCCTCGCTTACCTGGCCTCCCCGAGGCAGGTGAGCAACCTTCTGCAATCTTTGACCCTCTGCTGCTTGTTGATATCGAAAATGAGCTGGCACACTCCTGCATATGGTAGGAACGGCTATGTAGTTCTTCATTGACTACCTTTCCCATCGATGACTTCGATTCCTCCAGCTCCTCCGCCATTCTTCTGAAGGAGCGTCGTGGGTCGCGGTCAATTTGAGAATGGAACCTTTCAGACACCCTTCCGGCAGAACGGCCAGCCTTTCTACCTCTCTTAGGCCTATGCATAATAAGCGCTCTTTCCTAGTATCGTAGGATAACCTTACGTATAACCCTTGTGGAAACTACAAAATATTTGACATTGTCCTTCATTGGGGTATCCGCCCCGTGCATGCGAATGATCGCAGGTCGCAGTGAAAGACCTCCCGCCCTCCTGAAGATAGTAGGGATTTCACACCTACAATCAAAAAGCTTACAAGAGGACCTTTGTGTGTAACTAATCATCAGCAAATGGAGGGAGAATAATCGAGTACATTTGCCAAACAAATTTTTGAATTTCGGCGCCCATAATTTTGGGACACCCTGTACAATTCGGTGTTTTCATCACACCAGACATGTCTGATACCAATGAAACATCCCC